ATATATATGGTTGGCTCGGTCTAAAGACCTCCTAATGCTGCGCCATGCGGCCAAATTTCATAAATAGCAATTTTGTAATTCAGTCAGGGATATTTCCATATCGGGATTCGATTCCAGAATGATCTACGCAATTTTAATAGGCTCTTGTGCATTCATTTCCGTTGTAAAAACTTCATGTTTCATGTGACTTTACACAAAAAAATTTTGTTGTAATTTTAAACCGTATCATAAAAATAAACAAACAAATATTCATATTTTAATAATCACCAAAGAGTTTGAAATAATCACCCAGACTTCAAAAAGTAAATGAGAGCTAAAAAGAGGAAAATCTTGTAATTTTTTACAAAAATTCTTATTAATATTAATAATTTAAAAAGTACTACGAGAGGAATAGATAGTATAAAGCTTTCAGTTTCAGATTAACTATTAACTAAGGTCCTCAGTAAGCTGGATCTCAAATATATTAGTTTAAAAAAAGAATGTTTTCGTTGATTAACTTTAAAAAAGAGTAATTTCGTTAATTAATTTCTTATTAATAGTAACATAGGAATATATAGAGTAAAAATACTTCTAGTCTGGACAGTTACCTATCAATGAATATGTAATTTCGCTTTACATGTAAGAATTATTCAAAATAATATTTATATATATATATATATATATTAAATTTATTAAATTTATACATATATTAAATTATTAAATTTATATATTTATTGTTTTATGAATTATTAGAGTTTATATTTAATGGGCAAGGTGAAATGGAAAAAATCTATGAGATCATGTCTGAGTTTCTATGATGATGGTGCATTTATTTAATGTTTATACTATTACAAAAATACAATTTCTTCCAATATGCATAACAACAATTTCCATGAATATTAATATGTATTTACGCTTTACTCTCAAGTCAGGTATGTCTTCACTAAACCAAATTTATTAAATATTACCTCATTAAAAGAAAAAATAGAGACAAATATAAAATAAGAGGAAATTATTATGCATAGAACTATCATGAATTCATTGTTTGAGATAGGTTTATTATCATTACGAAAATATATAATTCAAAGACAAGGTCAAGGTCAGTTTTTATTTATTTATTATTTTATTAATTATTAACTAACTATTCTAACTATTATGAGTTTTTCCAACTACTTTTTTAAGTTAAGGAAATTATAATGTTATTATACATGTTAAAGATTCAATTATCTAGCTCTCCAATTTCTTAAATGTAAATTAAAGATAAACAACCTTTCTTTTGAGAATAATTAATGAATGATTTGAATTCAGAATTAAAGAAATATTACAATTTAAAATGTTAGGAATAATATTTCTTGGTAATTTCTGCAAGTTAATTATTTTATGGAAATTATATGACCAATCAATAAAGCTTTCGCCATGTTTTTCTTGTTTTCTTTTTCATTAAAGATTATTTAACGAAAAGATCTGCACGGAATTTAGCCAATCAAAATTTCTTTTCATAACGTCGATCATTACAGGGTATTATCCCTGGTTGAATTTAACCAATCAGAATTTCTTCTAGAATTTTTCATACAATCGATCATTACGGTATTTAGTATTTCCATCTATGGAAATATCCCTGACTGTAATTTGTTCAAAAATGTAATAAAATTTTTCAAAAAATAGGACTTCACGTGATTTTAGTTTTCTTACTGCCAAATTTAGATACGATAGTCAAGAACTAGTCTAAATTTGGTAATATTTTTTCTAAATTTAGAAATAATCATAGTGGACAAATTCCTCGCGAGCATAGTAAAGTACATGTTTTAAAAAAGAATAGAACTCTACAACAAATAATTTTTTTGAGAAAATCTCTCTATTACATTAAAACTAAAGACATATTCTATCAACTAATAGAGCTATTTTTTTAAAAGGTAGGACAGAAAATGACTTCTATACTTTTAAAATTTGCCCAAAATTTAGGAGGTCTTTAGACCAAGCCAACTATATAAGATAAAATATAAATATAGAGTCCAATAATATATAGATTTCCCTGTAAACACACACAGCTCAGGGTTCTTGCTCAAATTCTCACTCTATACTCCATATCTGCACACAGCTAGGAGTTCTCAATACTCAATTCTCTCAATATCCACACACAGCTAGGGGCTTTCCCCAAAATAACTTTATTGCACAACTCTTCTTTATAGAAAATTTTGCATATGTAAATTCTGTATTAATTACAATTTTTATTGCTATAGAATGATTACTATAAAGTGTACAGATTTTTTCCAGAAAAAATTATATTAGTAGTTGTGTGACATATCCCTGAGGCTGCTTTTCTATATGTTCTCATTATTTTTATAATAAACTTGAACTTCATTGTTAAAATAAAATGAAAGACTCCATTAAAGCTTTCTAATGAATAACCTTTCATATCAAAATGTCTTCTCTACATGAATTCACAGCTATTCAAAAATGGGATTACTTTCCACTTCAAAGCTCAGATTATTTCTCAATATCATTTTAAAAGACTTGATAGTAAATGAGAAGGTGTAGAATACTTTAAGCTTTCATATGGTTATTACTAAAGATGTTAGCCGAAATTGGCTCTCTTAATAAATGATCATCACCAAATCCGAAATGCTGAAATAGTTTTTCATAGTCGCCAAAATTAATTTATTAATTGCTGAAATTATATTCGAAGTTATTTGAACACTTTAGCCCAATAGCCAAAATTCTGGGTAGTTTATTTATGTCTATTGTTATGAAAAATATTGTAAATCTGAAATTGCCTGCCGAAATGGTTTTTGAAAAAATCAATTTCGGCTAACATCTTTAGTTATTACTTTATGGGGCATTGGTTAATAAGTTTTAGAGAGGTTCATGTAAAACTATTTTATAGAAATTTGATAGTCATGAAAAATTTTATGTAGATGGGATTCAGCAAAAATTAAAAGGTATTTTATTAGTGATTGTTTAATATTTCTGACTTTATATTGATTAAAGTTTATTACAAATATCATCAATTAATAGTTGTTATAGCAACATTAAACAATAATATTGGTAGCAACAAATAACAAATGACAACAACATCAGGAAAATGGGTACAAATATTATGTGTATATAATACACAATTGCAGGGATTAAGCATAATATGCGTACAAATTGCGTATTTTTTTATGTATGCAGATTGTACATATATTATATGCTTAATCCCTGCAATTGCATATTATATATGCATAATATTTGTACCCATTTTCCTGATGCAATGAATCATCATTTTTTGATGATGATAATAAAGATTAAGATCCAGTTTATGTAGGAGTTGGAAGTAAGCATTAAGGACAAGATCTATGAAGCTTGCAAATATACTAACAAACATTTTATCAATTATTCAATAATTAATTGTATAGGAGTGATTGAAGTAAGGTTGTGGGCAAAACCTCCTTAGTAATTGCTGAAACCACAGCAAACTATATTAATTCTTATCAAAAATCCTGTTGAAACTATTCTGAAATGGTGAAACCTCAAAATGCAAAACTCTGCCAAAACTCTAATAAACAATTGATGTGTAACCTGCTGATTGATTTCTGGAGGAGTTTCGGCAAGCAACCTTAGATTGAAGTAGTGTTAAGGGCAAGATTTATGAACAAAATATACTAATGAATGTTTATCAATTATTCATAGGAGTGATCAAAGTAAGCATTAAGGGCAAGATCTATGAGGTTTGCAAAATATACTAACAATGTTTTATCAATTATCCAATAGTTTGTATAGTAGTGATCAAAGTAAGTCTTAAGGTCAAGATATATGAAGCTTGCAAAATATACTAACGAATGGTTTATCAATCATTCAATAGTTATATTTGTTATTTATTTATGTATATAAATTTCTCTTTATTTTAACTTATATTTAATAACGTCTCTATGATAAATAATTAAATGTATAAAGTCAGAGATAAAACACCTTTTAATTATTATTG